TTGAACACGGCATTATACAACACACCTAAAATCATTCTGTTGTTTCAACACATTGGCAACCATTTAGACCATATGTATCTTGCTCCATTCTAGCTGTTATTTCAGTGGCTCAGGCCACAGCTTCTGTATACCACTCAGTTACCATCATTGGTATCCCTGTCATTCCCGATTCATAGCTTGCATGAAATGTTCATCTGCAGCAGTACGGATAGAGACACAAATCAGTAGGAAATGGAAGAACATTGGTCTTCATTCCTTTTTTCCCATTAAAACTTGATTGTTGTTATTATGACATGATCAGTTGCAATCAGAAGAGATCTGTTAATTTTTTTACAATCAAGAAGTGTTGCAACGCCTGATGGACTCGGAGATCAGATAGAAGCTTGCATAACCTACTTCACTAGTGATTGCAGACTCTTTTCCGGGTAACCTTGGTGGAAACACACAACACTCACATACTTACATGCTTCATGTTTCATTAAGAAAAGATACAAACACTCACATGACATGCTTACATGCTTCACTAAGAAAAGCTACAAACACTCACATGACATGCTTACATGCTTCACTAAGAAAAGCTACAAACAACAACAAAATGAAGGTGGACAAGTCCTCATCCATGCATTCCCACATAATACAGAGATGCCTTTTTGCTCCCTACCCTCCATTTTACACTTCTCATTCTCCAAAAATCCATTACATAATAAATCCTGTCAACCAGAACCTTCTTCTTAAAAATTATTACACCTTTAGCAGGGAAATTTTTTGTTTCCAATTCAAACTGGGAAGGACTTCATACAAAAGAAATGGGCCAGTAATCCATAACGATCTGATGAAATTAAGCGGTGTTCTGTGCTATGTGCCAAAAGCTGGTAAGAGTGTGTGTGTGTGTGTGTACTGAGCTGGACCTAGTAGTGAAGATGGCAGCAGCAAACGATTGAGCTGATGACGGTGGAAGTGTCAGGTTGGGTGTTATGCTACTTCCAGTTAATAGTATTCACTCTAATTATAATACCATCTAACACATCAGGCTTCAACTTTAACTGTTTCACATTTCTATTGCTCCTGTTACATCACAATTGAGCAGTAGTAACTAGTATCTCGCTTTTATGTATTTTGGCCATGTCATTTATTTCATTATATGTTCTTTGTCATGAGAATTAACATGTTTCTCTGTCAATGTGTATCAATATAGAAGTGGTAACTTGAACTTAGTGACTTCTACCTCTACATGGAATAAAAATTTACCAGATGGTCAGATACACATCTTTTTGTTCTTAAAACATGTATTCCTTTATTCTTTCTCAAAAAAAAAAAAAAAAAAA